ATCTCATTACCATGAAAGAATACTCTACTGGCCACCACCAAAGACCAAGAATACTCCACTGACTGCCACCATGAATGGCACAGAAATGGAACATCTCATTACTAGTGAAGAATACTCTACTGACCACCACTAAAGACGAAGAATGCCCCCACTGACTGCCACCATGAATGGCACAGAAATGGAACTGACCACCCCCACCAACAGGGTGAACGTCACAGAAGATGAACATCTCATTGACAGAGAAGAATACTCTACTGAATGCCATCACCAAAAGGTATGATTGGCACGGAATGGAACATCTCATAACCAATGAAAAAACTCCACTGAACCACCCCCGGCAAAGGCGTAAACGGCACAGAAACAGAACTTCTCATTACCAATGAAGAATACTCCACAGACCGTCACCCCCAATGGTGTGAATGTCACAAAATGGAAGCTAAACCATGACCACCAATGGTTGTGAACAGCATAGAATTGGAACATCTCACTACCAGCGATGAATCCTCCACTGAGGAGCAGGAATGGCACAAAAAAATGGAACTGACCACCACCGCCAACAGCATGAATGGCACAGAAATGGAACATCTCGTTACCAGCAATGAATACTCGACTGACCACCACCACGGATGGAACAGAAAATGGAACATCTCATTATTAGTGAAGAATACTCTACTGACCCACCCACAATGGGATGAATGGCCCCCCCCCTGACCACCACCACAAAGAGTGTGAACAGCACAGAAATGGAACTGACCATCACCACCAATGCCGTGGACGGCACAGAAGCTGAACATCTCATTACCACCGAAGAATACTCTACTGTCCATCAACACCAATGGCGGTACACGGCACAAAAATGAAGCCAATGAGGCCACCACCAATGGTATGAACAGTACAGAAATGGAAGGTCTCGTTACCAGGGAAGAATATTCTACTGACCGCCACCACCAACGGCACAAATGGCACAGAAATGGAACATCTCATTACCAACAAAGAATACTCTACTGACCACCACCAACAATGGGATGAATGGCCCAGAAATGGAACATCTCATTACTAGTGAAGAATACTCCACTGACCACCACCAACAATGGGGTGAAGGGCCCAGAAATGGAACATCTCATTACTAGTGAAGAATACTCCACTGACCACCACCAACAATGGGTGTGAATGGCCCAGAAGGGAACATCTCATTACTAGTGAGGAATACTCTACTGACCACCACCAACAATGGGGTGAAGGGCCCAGAAATGGAACATCTCATTACTAGTGAAGAATACTCCACTGACCACCACCAACAATGGGGTGAATGGCCCAGAAGGACATCTCATTACTAGTGAGGAATACTCTACTGACCACCACCAACAAAAGGGGTGAGTGGCACAGAAATGGAACATCTCATTACCAACAAAGAATACTCTACTGACCACCACCAACAATGGGGTGAATGGCCCAGAAATGGAACATCTCATTACTAGTGAAGAATACTCCACTGACCACCACCAACAAGGGGGTGAATGGCCCAGAAGGAAACATCTCATTACTAGTGAGGAATACTCTACTGACCACCACCAACAAGGGGGTGAGTGGCACAGAAATGGAACATCTCATTACTAGTGAAGAATACTCCACTGACCACCACCAACAATGGGGTGAATGGCCCAGAAATGGAACATCTCATTACTAGTGAAGAATACTCCACTGACCACCACCAACAATGGGGTGAATGGCCCAGAAATGGAACATCTCATTACTAGTGAAGAATACTCCACTGACCACCACCAACAATGGGGTGAATGGCCCAGAAGGAAACATCTCATTATAGTGAGGAATATACTCTACTGACCACCACCAACAAGGGGTGAGTGGCACAGAAATGGAACATCTCATTACCAGTGAAGAATACTCCACTGACCACCACCAACAATGGGGTGAATGGCCCAGAAATGGAACATCTCATTACTAGTGAAGAATACTCCACTGACCACCACCAACAAGGGGGTGAATGGCCCAGAAGGAAACATCTCATTACTAGTGAGGAATACTCTACTGACCACCACCAACAAGGGGGTGAGTGGCACAGAAATGGAACATCTCATTACTAGTGAAGAATACTCCACTGACCACCACCAACAATGGGGTGAATGGCCCAGAAATGGAAACATCTCATTACTAGTGAAGAATACTCCACTGACCACCACCAACAATGGGGTGAATGGCCCAGAAATGGAACATCTCATTACTAGTGAAGAATACTCCACTGACCACCACCAACAATGGGGTGAATGGCCCAGAAATGGAACATCTCATTACTAGTGAAGAATACTCCACTGACCACCACCAACAATGGGGTGAATGGCCCAGAAATGGAACATCTCATTACTAGTGAAGAATACTCCACTGACCACCACCAACAATGGGGTGAATGGCCCAGAAATGGAACATCTCATTACTAGTGAAGAATACTCCACTGACCACCACCACAACAATGGGGTGAATGGCCCAGAAAGGAAACATCTCATTACTAGTAAGGAATACTCCACTGACCACCACCAACAATGGGGTGAAGGGCACAGAAATGGAACATCTCATTACTAGTGAGGAATACTCCACTGACCACCACCAACAATGGGGTGAATGGCCCAGAAGGGAACATCTCATTACTAGTGAGGAATACTCTACTGACCACCACCAACAATGGGGTGAGTGGCACAGAAATGGAACATCTCATTACCAACAAAGAATACTCTACTGACCGCCACCACAAAGAGTGTGAACAGCACAGAAATGGAACTGACCACCACCACCAATGCCGTGAACGGCACAGAAGCTGAACATCTCTTTACCACCAAAGAATACTCCACTGTCCGTCAACACCAATGGCTTAAATGGCACAGAAATGGGACAACTAATTGCCACCACCAATGGCGGTGAACGGCACAAAAATGAAGCCAATGAAGCCACCATCAATGGTATGAACAGTACAGAAATGGAAGGTCTCGTTACCAGTGAAGAATATTCTACTGACCGCCACCACCAATGGCACGGAAATGGAACTGACCACCACCAATGGCACAGAAATGGAACTGACCACCACCAATGGCACAGAAATGGAACTGACCACCACCAATGGCACGGAAATGGAACTGACCACCACCAATGACACGGAAATGGAACTGACCACCACCAATGGCACAGAAATGGAACTGACCACCACCAATGGCACGGAAATGGAACTGACCACCACCAATGACACGGAAATGGAACTGACCACCACCAATGGCACAGAAATGGAAGTGACCACCACCAATGGCACAGAAATGGAAGTGACCACCACCAATGGCACAGAAATGGAAGTGACCACCACACATGGCACAGAAATGGAAGTGACCACCACCAATGGCACAGAAATGGAAGTGACCACCACCAATGGCACAGAAATGGAAGTGACCACCACCAATGCACAGAAATGGAACTGACCACCACCAATGGCACAGAAATGGAACTGACCACCACCAATGGCACAGAAATGGAACTGACCACCACCACCAATGCCGTGAACGGCACAGAAGCTGAACATCTCATTACCACCGAAGAATACTCCACTGTCCATCAACACCAATGGCTTAAATGGCACAGAAATGGAAGTGACCACCACCAATGGCACAGAAATGGAAGTGACCACCAATGCCAGCGGTGCGATTGGCACAAAGAATATTCCACCGATGGCTCACCACCAACATCACGAATGGCACAGAAACAGAACATCTCACGACCAAAGAACCGGCCAAAGTCCTCATGACCAAGTACCACAGCGACGTTCCTCCACCTGATGGACCATTGCTGACCAAAGTTCCTTGACGCCGAGTCAACAGGCAGTGAAAGGGAAAGATGGTGGCCCAGAAGGACCCAAAGAGGGATTCAAGACCCCAATAAGGGGGAGTCCAAACCAGTGAAAATCGCCGAGGTGGGTACACCCAGGAGCATGACCGCCGCCACATCTCAGGGGTAACAAGACGTTTTCCGCATGAATCTGAAATGTGGATGTCAGATTGTGAGGCCTGTAGGCCACAAGAAGCAACGGATGGGACGCGGAGCCATGCTGGGAGTTGTAGTTCCACTGTAACTGCAGAGAAGCCGAGCTCAGAGCATGCTGGGTACTCTCAGGACAGCTGATAAATCCTCTTCCACGTTTGGTCTGACCTTCCCCCACACACAGTGCAATCACAGCACTTTACTGACCTTATAAATGTGTCAGCGTGATATACACCCGGCAATACCGTCTTCCTCTTTCTCTACCGATACTTCCCAACCGGCCACCTCCAGGGGACTCCATCGCTGAGATCTCTGCTCTGAGATCCAGGGTCTGTACACCCGCTGTGCCCATTATGAGGGGTTCCCACCATCCCTGTGCCCATTGTGAGGGGTTCCCACCATCCCTGTGCTTAGTTCCCGGGTCTGTACACCCGCTGTGCCCATTATGAGGGGTTCCCACCGTCCCTGCTCTGAGATCCCGGGTCTGTACACCCGCTGTGCCCATTATGAGGGGTTCCCACCATCCCTGTGCCCATTATGAGGGGTTCCCACCGTCCCTGCTCTGAGATCCCGGGTCTGTACACCCGCTGTGCCCATTGTGAGGGGTTCCCACCATCCCTGTGCTGAGATCCCGGGTCTGTACACCCGCTGTGCCCATTATGAGGGGTTCCCACCGTCCCTGTGCTGAGATCCCGGGTCTGTACACCCGCTGTGCCCATTATGAGGGGTTCCCACCATCCCTGTGCTGAGTTCCCGGGTCTGTACACCCGCTGTGCCCATTGTGAGGGGTTCCCACCATCCCTGTGCCCATTGTGAGGGGTTCCCCACCATCCCTGTGCCCATTATGAGGGGTTCCCACCGTCCCTGCTCTGAGATCCCGGGTCTGTACACCCGCTGTGCCCATTGTGAGGGGTTCCCACCATCCCTGTGCCCATTGTGAGGGGTTCCCACCATCCCTGTGCCCATTGTGAGGGATTCCCACCATCCCTGTGCTGAGTTCCCGGGACTGTACACCCGCTGTGCCCATTATGAGGGGTTCCCACCATCCCTGTGCTGAGATCCCAGGTCTGTACACCCGCTGTGCCCATTGTAAGGGGTTCCCACCATCCCTGTGCCCATTGTGAGGGGTTCCCACCATCCCTGTGCCCATTGTGAGGGGTTCCCACCATCCATGTGCCCATTATGAGGGGTGCCCACCATCCCTGCTCTGAGATCCCGGGTCTGTACACCCGCTGTGCCCATTATGAGGGGTTCCCACCATCCCTGTGCTGAGTTCCCGGGTCTGTACACTGGCTGTGCCCATTGTGAGGGTTCCCACCACTCCCTGTGCTGAGTTCCCAGGTCACCTGAACTCATCCCGCCCCCCTCCCTGTGCTGAACTCACCTGAACTCATCCGCCCCCCTCACCTGAACTCATCCCGCCCCCCATCACCTGAACTCATCCCGCCCCCATCACCTGAACTCATCCCGCCCCCATCACCTGAACTCAGCCCGCCCCCATCACCTGAACTCATCCCGCCCCCCATCACCTGAACTCATCCCGCCGCCCCCCATCACCTGAACTCATCCCGCCCCCCATCACCTGAACTCATCCCGCCCCCATCACCTGAACTCATCACTCCTGAAGCAGAATGTTCGTTGAGGGAGGAGAAAGCAGAATGTTCGTTGAGGGAGGAGGAAGCAGAATGTTTTCGTTGAGGGAGGAGGAAGCAAATTGAGGGAGGAGGAAGCAGAATCAATCAGGGAAAGCAGAATGGTTGAGGGAAGCAGAATGTTTGTTCAGGGAGGAGGAAGCAGAATGTTCGTTGAGGGAGGAGGAGCAGAATGTTCAGAGGAGGAAGCAGAATGTTCGTTGAAGAAGCAGAATGGAGGAAGCAGAATGTTCGTTGAGGGAGGAGGAAGCAGAATGTTCGTTGAGGGAGGAGGAAGCAGAATGTTCGTTGAGGGGAGGAGGAAGCAGAATGTTCGTTGAGGGAGGGAAGCAGAATGTTCGTTGGGGAGAGGAAGCAGAATGTTCGTTGAGGGAGGAGGAAGCAGAATGTTCGTTGAGAGGGAGGAGGAAGCAGAATGTTCGTTGAGGGAGGAGGAAGAAGTTGAGGGAGGAGGAAGCAGAATGTTCGTTGGGGGAGGAGGAAGCAGAATGTTCGTTGGGGGAGGAGGAAGCAGAATGTTCGTTGAGGGAGGAGGAGGAAGCAGAATGTTCGTTGAGGGAGGAGGAAGCAGAAATGTGTTCGTTGAGGGAGAGGAAGGCAGAATGTTCGTTGGGGGAGGAAGCAGAATGTTCGTTGAGGGAGGAGGAAGCAGAATGTTCGTTGGGGAGGAGAAGCAGAATGTTCGTTGAGGGAGGGAAGGAAGCAGAATGTGTTCGTTGAGGGAGGAGGAAGCAGAATGTTTCGTTGAGGGAGGAGGAAGCAGAATGTTCGTTGAGGGGAGGAGGAAGCAGAATGAATTTCGTGAGGGAGGAGGGGAAGCAGAATGTTCGTTGAGGGAGGAGGGAAGCAGAATGGTTTCGTTGAGGGAGGAGGAGGAAGCAGAATGTTCGTTGAGGGAGGAGGAAGCAGAATGTTCGTTCAGGGAGGAGGAAGCAGAATGTTCGTTCGGGGAGGAAGCAGAGGAAGCAGAATGTTCGTTGAAGGGAGGAGGAAAGCAGAATGTTCGTTGGGGGGAGGAGGAAGCAGAATGTTCGTTGAGGGAGGGAGGAAGCAGAATGTTTGTTGAGGGAGGAGGAAGCAGAATGTTCGTTGAGGGAGGAGGAAGCAGAATGTTCGTTGGGAGGAGGAAGGAATGTTCGGAAGCAGAATGTTCGTTGAGGGAGGAGGAAGCAGAATGTTCGTTGGGGGAGGAGGAAGCAGCAGCAGAATGTTCGTTGAGGGAGGAGGAGGAAGCAGAATGTTCGTTGAGGGAGGAGGAAGCAGAATGTTCGTTGAGGGAGGAGGAAGCAATGTTTGTTCAGGGAGGAGGAAGCAGAATGTTCGTTGAGGGAGGAGGAAGCAGAATGTTCGTTGAGGGAGGAGGAAGCAGAATGTTCGTTGGGGAGGAGGAAGCAGAAATGTTCGTTCAGGGAGGAGGAAGCAGAATGTTCGTTGAGGGAGGAGGAAGCAGAATGTTCGTTGAGGGAGGAGGAAGCAGAATGTTCGTTCAGGGAGGAGGAAGCAGAATGTTCGTTGAGGGAGGAGGAAGCAGAATGTTCGTTGAGAGGAGGAGGAAGCAGAATGTTCGTTCAGGGAGGAGGAAGCAGAATGTTTGTTGAGGGAGGAGGAAGCAGAATGTTCGTTGAGGGAGGAGGAAGCAGAATGTTCGTTGGGGGGAGGAGGAAGCAGAATGTTTGTTCAGGGAGGAGGAAGCAGAATGTTCGTAGGGAGGAGGAAGCAGAATGTTCGTTGAGGGAGGAGGAAGCAGAAGGTTCGTTGAGGGAGGAGGAAGCAGAATGTTCGTTTAGGGAGGAGGAGGAAGCAGAATGTTCGTTGAGGGAGGAGGAAGCAGAATGTTCTTTGGGAGAGGAGGAAGCAGAATGTTCGTTGAGGGAGGAGGAAGCAGAATGTTCGTTGAGGGAGGAGGAAGCAGAATGTTTGTTGAGGGAGGAGGAAGTAGAAGGTTCGTTGAGGGAGGAGGAAGCAGAATGTTCGTTGAGGGAGGAGGAAGCAGAATGTTCGTTGAGGGAGGAGGAAGCAGAATGTTTGTTCAGGGAGGAGGAAGCAGAATGTTCGTTCAGGGAGGAGGAAGCAGAAGATTCATTGAGGGAGGAGGAAGCAGAAGGTTCGTTGAGGGAGGAGGAAGCAGAATGTTCGTTGAGGGAGGAGGAAGCAGAATGTTCGTTGAGGGAGGAGGAAGCAGAATGTTCGTTGAGGGAGGAGGAAGCAGAATGTTCGTTGAGGGGAGGAGGAAGCAGAATGTTTGTTGAGGGAGGAGGAAGCAGAATGTTTGTTGAGGGAGGAGGAAGCAGAATGTTTGTTGAGGGAGGAGGAAGCAGAATGTTCGTTGAGGGAGGAGGAAGCAGAATGTTCGTTGGGGGAGGAGGAAGCAGAACGTTTGTTCGGGGGGAGAGAAGCAGAACGTTCGTTCAGGGAGGAGGAAGCAGAACGTTCGTTCAGGGAGGAGGAAGCAGAACGTTCGTTCAGGGAGGAGGAAGCAGAATGTTCGTTGAGGGAGGAGGAAGCAGAATGTTTGTTCAGGGAGGAGGAAGCAGAATGTTCGTTGAGGGAGGAGGAAGCAGAATGTTCGTTGAGGGAGGAGGAAAGCAGAATGTTCGTTGAGGGAGGAGGAAGCAGAATGTTCGTTGGGGGAGGAAGCAGAATGTTCGTTGAGGGAGGAGGAAGCAGAATGTTCGTTGAGGGAGGAGGAAGCAGAATGCAGAAGCAGAAGTTTCGTTGAGGGAGGAGGAAGCAGAATTCGTTCGTTGAGGGAGGAGGAAGCAGAATGTTCGTTGAGGGAGGAGGAAGCAGAATGTTCGTTGAGGGAGGAGGAAGCAGAATGTTCGTTGAGGGAGGAGGAAGCAGAATGTTCGTTCAGGGAGGAGGAAGCAGAATGTTCGTTCAGGGAGGAGGAAGCAGAATGTTCGTTGAGGGAGGAGGAAGCAGAAGATTCGTTGAGGGAGGAGGAAGCAGAAGGTTCGTTGAGGGGGGGAGAAGCAGAATGTTTGTTCAGGGAGGAGGAAGCAGAATGTTAGTTGAGGGAGGAGGAAGCAGAATGTTTGTTCAGGGAGGAGGAAGCAGAATGTTCGTTGAGGGAGGAGGAAGCAGAACGTTCGTTGAGGGAGGAGGAAGCAGAATGTTTGTTGAGGGAGGAGGAAGCAGAATGTTCGTTGAGGGAGGAGGAAGCAGAATGTTCGTTGAGGGAGGAGGAAGCAGAATGTTCGTTGAGGGAGGAGGAAGCAGAAGCTGCCTATGTAATGAGGAGTGACACCATGCACACGGTACACCCAGAAGGGGCGAGGATCGGCAGGCGCGGTGATGATGTTCTCAGGGTGTCCCCAGCGGCGGCGGTTTGGCCGGGTCACTCGGTGTCATCGCGGTCACGCCGCGCCTTATCTGCCGTCAGCGCACACACAAGGACACGGAGCCGCTTCCTGCCGCTGGAAGTGGCCCCTAGAAGCCAGAGCATTGTTCCAGGGGCCGCGGGCTCCCCTGTGTGACGGCCAGGATGTGGAGAGCCGGAAACCCCGGACAATAAATAACCCGATCAGTCACATCCCCGAGCAACAGGAGCAAAGAGGAGGACGCAGAGCCCCCTGCTGCCAGGAATAGGGACATACCAGGGTGGCCGGGGATCAGGGGGCCCCTCCGGGACATTGAAGGAAGGGTCCGGGGGGCCCCTCCGGGACATAGGAAGGGATCGGGGGCCCCTCCGGGACATAGGAAGGGTTCAGGGGCCCCTCGGGACATAGGAAGGATCCAGGGATCCCCTCCGGGACATAGGAAGGGTTCGGGGGGCCCCTCCGGGACATAGGAAGGGTTCGGGGGGCCCCTCCGGGACATAGGAAGGGTCCGGGGGGGCCCCCTGGGACATAGGAAGGATCTGGGGGGCCCCTCCGGGACATAGGAAGGATCTGGGGGGCCCCTCCGGGACATAGGAAGGGTTCGGGGGCCCCTCCGGGACATAGGAAGGGTTCGGGGGCCCCTCCGGGACATTGGAAGGGATCGGGGGCCCCTCCGGGACATAGGAAGGGTTCGGGGGCCCCTCTGGGACATAGGAAGGGATCGGGGGGGCCCCTCCGGGACATAGGAAGGGATCGGGGACCCCTCCGGGACATAGGAAGGGTTCGGGGGGCCCCTCCGGGACATAGGAAGGGTTCGGGGGCCCCTCCGGGACATAGGAAGGGTTCAGGGGGCCCCTCCGGGACATAGGAAGGGTTCGGGGGCCCCTCCGGGACATAGGAAGGATCTGGGGGGCCCCTCCGGGACATAGGAAGGGTTCGGGGGTCCCCTCCGGAACATAGGAAGGGTTCAGGGGCCCCTCGGATGGTCTCTGGGGACAGTATGGAGGTCATGGCTCTCCTCGGAGCGCAGGCGACTGTGGATACGACAGACAAGCAGGCGATCCGTTGTGTACAGAGGGGCAGATGGAGGAAGTCGGTGACAATGGATGACGATCGGTCAATATTGAACATTCCTTATTAATAGAGGAAAGAAACTCCGCCCCCCCCGGGGCCAGATCTGCGCAAAACTGCGAAAACACAACACGTGTGAAACACGACACACGCTACACGTCTGAGGCTTCCTTCACATGTGCAGGGGGGGAGCCCAGTGGTTGAGCTGTGGTTTTACCCCCCCCAGAGGAAGACTGAGGAAATGACTCCTCCACCTTCTGCAAAGTTACAATGTACAGTCTGATCAGTGGAGGAGGAGACTGAGGAAATGACCCCTCCCCC